TGTGAGCCACTTGGCAGGCGAATAGCCCGCCGAACGCCCTGATAGTTTTTATGTGTTCACTGGACACACGAACTAGCGATGCTCGTGTCGAACTGTTGGTCCACTCGAACATCGGGGCCATCAGTGGACTGTGCCTGCAAAATGTGCGAGAGTGTAACAATGCAGAAACAGAATTGGGAGATAGGCACAATGTTGTCACCACATAACAGGAAGTGCATAAACACATACATGTATCCCAAGAATACCAGGTATGATATCAGTAAAATCTGCAGATTTAATAGTATTGAGAATTACTTTTGCAATTTTATAAATTTGGGAAAGCGTATATGTGATTTAGGATATTTTACCTATAATTTCAGCAGCTTACCAGGGTTCTTTTAGCCCCTTGTAGGCTACATTTAGGGGTCTATTCACTAAGCTGCCGAAGGATCTAGCCGTAGCTTTGGCTGATCCTTCGGCTAGCTTCGGCCCCAGGACCTCTTCGGTTCAGTAGAACCGAAGGGATGCTGCTCGGGCTATTCACTATAGCCTCTACAGCTCCCGAAGTCAGCCGAGCGGTTCAGTCAAGCCGACAGCCTGCTACTGACTGCTTGGCCGAACCAGCCGCCATCTCACGGCTGGCTTTGGCCACTTGCACAGACAGATCAGCGTCCCTGGTTACCAGGTAACCAGGGACACTGATCTCCAGACAGCCCAACTCTCCCGGGCGCTCTGGGAGTCTCCCGCTATTAGATAGCAGCTCCCGGCCACCCGGGAGAAAATCACTTTCTCCCAGAAAGATTTACTCTGCTCGATCGAGCAGAGTTAACATTTCCCTGCTCTGTTTTTTTTTCTTCTGACATCGGAGCCGTCAGAATAAAAAAAAAGAAAAAAAATCACCATAGGAATGCATAGCTAGATTCCTATTGGCTATTTCAATTTGCAATAGCCAATAGCAAACTAGCTATTGCACCTGTCACTTGGCACACATGTCAATCAGCAGAGGGAACCTGAAGTTCTCCATTAGGTCCCCTCTAGTGATTGACAGCAGCAGAGGGCGGGTGCAATAGCTAGTTTGCTATTGGCTATTGCAAAGTGAAATAGCGAATAGGAATCTAGCTATGCATTCCTATGGTGATTTTTTTTTCTTTTTTTTTATTCTGATGGCAGCAGAACAACCTGGCCAATAGAAAACATTTGGGCGGAGCTAGCTGTCACTGCTAGCTCCGCCCCATCATTTTCTATTTTATTTTGTACTACTTTTTTAACTATTTTTCTATTTTGCTCGGTACCACAGAGGTACCGAACAGAACAGCCGAGCCGAATGCCGCTCAGCGGCATTCGGCTATTCACTCACTGCTGTTCAGCATTTATGAGAATAGGCCGAACAGCAGCGAGTAGCCTGCCGGAGGTTCCGTTTAGCCGATCCAGATGTTGGATCGGCGGAGTCGAACTCCTTGTGCACTTCGGCTCAGCCGAACATGCTGAGCATGTTCGGCCGACCCGAAGCCAGCCGAAGCCACCCGATGTATGGCTGATTTCAGCCGATATACGGCTGGTACCAGCCTGAAGTGAATAGCCGAACAGCGTTCGGCTCACTTCGCTTCGGGTCGGTTAGTCACTCGGCTGCCTACGGCAGCTTAGTGAAAAGAGCCCCTTGTAATTCTGATATTGAGAGGTTTAGGGCTCCCTACTCTGCTTTTTCAGCAACTGAACAATGCCAAACACAGCTAGTGCACATAGAAAACAATTGTTTTCTATATGTCCAATATACAGCACAATGCAGGGGTGATGTATGGTGTGGTAAGCTTAGATGCTGCATTTTCTCACATAGAGAGTAGGTCACCAGCACAGAATCTTCATCATTAAAACACCTTGATTGATGTTGGTTCACAATTAAATCACAGGAAACAAATTGATGTTTCAGGGTCATGCAGACTCCCTTCATTAGGTAATGTGTGGTTGTCAAATTACCTGGTGAAGGAACCCTGCATGGTCCCAAAATAATGCTCTTTTCCTGTGATTATGATCAACAAACATAAATTAAGGCGTTTTGATGATGAAGATTTTGGTGTGCTGGTGACTTACTCTGTATGTTATATTCCCTGGTATCATCCGCTTGTTGTTACTACAGCACCCACCAAGAGACAGCAGGGGATATACCAGTTAGGTGTGAGATGGAGTATCTGCACTGAGCTGCATTTTTTTCACAGCATGCTGTGTTGCACTGCAGGTCACCACATGGCAGCACACCACACTGATGTGCGGAGACCTGAACAAAGTGTACACTCCAAATAAAGTTAAAAAGAAAAAGTAAATAGTGTGATGCACTGAGACAGTGCATCACACAGCACAGCGGCCGGACCAAGCACAGCACACTAGCCCACATACTAAAACTGAGTATTTTAGCTTGTGGGCTAGTGTGAGCAAGCCCTTCTACATGTTTTTAATCCTTCCAGCTGCCCATATGTGGCCACAGAGTGCATCTCGGAATTGTGTGTTCACTCTCTGTTGTTAAGTCTACACATAGACCATTGAAGAAAAAATCCAGCCAAAAATAATAAGATGACAACTACTAGCCCATTAAAAGATACATTAACAAAACAAGCTACTGCCGTCAAATTCAGCTTCAATCCAGAGATTTCCCCCAAAGTAGTTTTTTTCTGCTGCCTAAGGTTTTTTCTGCTGCTTGATATTCTCAGTCCAATAATCAGCATCATTTTAAGAAGAACTCCGAGCAAATGGAAAATTAACCCTTGCAATGGGGCTACCCCTACACTGCAAGGGTTAAGTGCTTGTTTTGGTCTAAGGTCTAAAATAAAAACGATATACTCACTCGATTCTGCCTGGCTGCTAGACCGGTCACCACAGCCACTCTCCCCCGCTGCTTTGGCGATATAATGAACTGTGAGTCATCAGACAGTGTATTAGATGTGAGGACGCCGAGGCACATTCCACTGCCAAAGTGGAGGGGGTAGAGGCTGTGGGGACTGGTCTAGCAGCCAGACAGGATTGAGGATCAGGTAAGTATATATTTTTTTATTTTAGACTCTAGACCAAACTGAGGACTTAACCCTTGCGGTGCAGGATGACCCCACTGCAAGGGTTAATTTGTCATTGGCCTGGAATTGTTCTTTAACCTACATCCTTCTCCAAGTCCAGGTTGTCCTGAACAGTTGCAGCACAGTGAGGAGCTCATCTCTCTGTCACCCTGCTTTCTTTTTCTATCAGCATGCTTCTTGTCAGCACATGAACTGATTGGCTACTTGTACTGCTTCTTCGTCTCCCACTTCATACCTGCTGTACAGGCACTGCAGGAGACTGATACCTGGTTGAATGCAGGTACTAGACATGTGCGATTCGTTTCGTTCCGAATCAAAATTTTTATGAATTTTCCGAAATGCGGACATTTGGACACATCCGAAATTCCGAATCCCAATGCATCTGAATGTGTCCGAATCCAAGTTACCGTTTCCGAATTTCGGATCCCGTCCGAATTTCGTTAAAAAAACTAAACTGAATCGGACATGTGACTTTTCTGGCCAATCAGATGTGTTTTTCGGTTTAATGAATCCGAATGGGTCTGAACACTAATTTTCATTACGGCAACATGGGAGCCATATAAAGTATATACATATAATACTAAAGCTGAGGCTCCTAGATCCGAATGGCATTCTAGATCCAAATTTCCAATTTGCATTGGGGAGCTCTTCCGGTCTGGGAGCCTCAGCTCTAGTAATATATGTATATGACTCCCAGATCCGAATGGCATTCAGGATCCAAATTTCCGATTTGCATTGGGGAGCTCCAGAATGCCATTCGGGTCTGTGAGCCTCAGCTTTACTGTAGTAATATATGTATATGGCTCCCAGATCCGACAGGCATTCGGGAGCTCCCGAATGCAGTCCGGAAATTGGGATCCCGAATGCCATTCGGGTCTAGCAGATTCAGCTTTAGTATTAATATCTGTGTATGGTTTTCTGTGGTATTTGCAACAAAAATTCATCAATCCGAAACTAACGAAAATTCAGAATTACTATTATACAGGATTTATATAGCGCCAATAGTTTGCACAGCGCTTTACAATATAAGGAAGACATTACAGTCACAATACAATTTAGGACAAGATGGTAAAGAGGGCACTGCCCGTGAGGGCTTACAATCTAAATTCGTACGAATCCAAAACCCGAACCGAATTGCATTTCGGATCTGAATCCCAAATCTCGAAATATCCTAACCAGATTTTTCCGCAGCTTACATGTCTAGCAGGTACTTACACTGCTTTCTTGTATAACTACATTTAATATGTTCATTTTAATATTTTAATGAAAACATTGCTGCTTTCACATATGTCACACAAAAAAAAAATAGATGCACTGTCAGGGAAACAGTTGGGCTCTGTGCGCACATCACTGCTGCCCACAGTGTGAAATGAGAGGGAAGAAAGTTGAAGGAGTCAGCTGAAAGGGTTAATGGAGCTTTGCCTTCCTAGGCTCAGATTACAATGAGAAGCCTCTTCTTTCCCAGCAGGGTTTTTGCTTACATTGGTCTTTAGATCTCACCAGAAGAGCGTTGTATATTTATGTGAGCACTACATGTAGGTGGAAATAACAGACACAGCAAAGGCTTTGTATGGACTTTCAATCCTTTCTGGCTACATTCTGCAGAATAATTCATCTGTAACTGTGTGTTCATGAGGTCCTCCTGCTTTTTCATTTGCCGATGGATGAAAGGAAACACATGGTAACGTTATCAAGATGACCTGTGCAGTGGCAGGACCTGAGCCTGTCTGAGAGCCAGTTCAAAGTGTCAGAGCGACGTGAAATTGAGCGAGGGACTTGATGAAACTTAGTAACTTGCTCAGAAAACACTAGTTTTAGACTGGTTAACATAGGAATGGCCCGTTCTGCTGATCCCCAGGACTTGTATCCCCAGCAGCCAGGCTGCAGAGCTCAATAGGAAAGCGGGACGATCACCCTGGACTTGGCTCATACCATAGTGGCCGGCTGGTGGTGACATCTCAAGAACTTATCTCCAGAGATGTTCCATGGACGGATGACATTGACGTAAGCAAGCTGCTGTCCAGTTGATTGATCTGAAGTGCACTCAGCTTGAGAGATATTTTCTGCAAGGGAGCAGTGTTGGAGTGCCAGCTCTTGGGACATGGATCTGCTTAGAGTGATAGTGGCCTTGCTCTGGGTCTTCTGCTGCCTTGTACAAGGCTTAGGGGAAAGCCATGTCCACTCCAGCTTTATTTACAGACGACTGAGGAACCACGAGCGAAAGGAAATCCAAAGAGAGATACTTTCCATCCTGGGCTTGCCCCATAGACCCAGGCCATTCTCACCTGGCAAGCAAGCTTCCTCTGCACCCTTGTTCATGCTGGACCTGTACAATGTCATGGCTAACGAGGAAGAGCATGACATGTTGGGGTATACCTTGAGTGGATCTATGATGGAGAGCCGGGGACTGAGAAAGGGATACCCATCTGTAGCTAATGGTTATTCTCGGAAAGCCCAAGCTTATCGCACAGCCCCATTGACCACTCAAAGCCCACCTCTGGCCAGTCTACATGACACCAACTTCCTCAATGATGCTGACATGGTCATGAGCTTTGTAAACCTTGGTATGTATTATAACAAACAATGACTGTTGATGTCTACTTCTATATGAATTGTATATTCTTTACACTGAGATGTAGAGAACTAGTGTAAGGAATTGTTTTACTATGTTCATAAGGGCCCCCAGTGTTTGTAGGGAAGGTGGCTAATGATAAAGGTTATCATGAGTGTGTATTTTATTCTGTATTCATTCTATCCACTATAGGAGAGTCTGATTATGGCTGGTGTAAAATCTAATTGCATGACAGCATACTTTCATAACCTAAAAAGAGCCTCCTTAATCTGTCCAATTTATAAATACACCTTACACACCAGAGAGATGGTAGATAGAGACTCATGACATTAGTAAATACCCACGTGTAGCTTTCTTAACATATTAACTGACAGATTATCTGCATTATCTTGCCAGATCATCAGAAATCCAATTTATCAAACCTTTTCGTACAGGTTTAGATGTTCAGCAGAGGAGAAAACGCTTGACAGGTCACATCTTGCACTGATCAGCGCTGCTCTGTGGTTTATGTTGAATTCTTAACACAAACATGATGGAAGATATAAGTTCACCATATGGTATGGTTACAGGAGATTGTTATTTCTTACTAAATGCTTCATGGCTCTGTAACAAGTTTACAGAAGGTGTGTGTGTGTGTCCCCCTAGACGACAACCGCCTGGCAC